CATTTCTAAACGTGTCATGTTTCTATATAATCTGAACGCTGTTTTCTACTGGTTGGCTCTAGACTGTTCATATCAGAAGACCACTTAAAACAACCTACTTTAATACTTTTTGTCGACACTGTTTAGGCAGGAACGATCGGGATCACACTCTTGCCTTGTTTTGCGTAAGCTGATACAGTGGTTAGCTGTTAATTGTATCTCAAAATAGCGTGTCCACAAAAACACTGACAGGGATAGAGTGCAGCTCTAGGCTGTGCAAGCTAGTACGCAGAGACTTTTCCGTTTGGAACCTTGCTGCGACAGTCAAAAGCTGTCGAAGAAGCTACAGCTGCTTGTAAAGCAAACGAGCGTAACAGACCCACCTGGAGCCATACAGGCTAACGTCATGGATGTCTTATCGATTACCTTTCGAAAACGTCCTTGCATCCCAGTCTTAGTCTGCACTATAACGAAATCCTTGGCTTGGAATAAACGAACAGCTCTTCCTGAAGTTTAATAAACTTCGACCTATATAGCCGCACCCTCCATTATATCACCACTTAACTGCCACAAAATGGATATCTTTGAGGTATCAAAATGTCGCAAATCTAGACAAGTGTAAATATTTTCCGTACAACTAATATATACAGTCTGTCACGAGACCAGCAGTAATTATGTAACCTATAATCTTAATAATACACATGTTTTGTTCCGTTCTCGATAACTCGTTGGCGCCTCAGGCAAACTCTCCGTTGGACTAGGAACACGTTGAAATTCTAATTGATTGTTATATGGTTAACTCAAAAAGTTTAACGACTTTCGACTGCTTCGATAATTTCGATAACACTAAGCTGCGATAATACTGCTTTATCTGTAGTTGACTGACTTCAAGGTAATCAAGGGAGAAAAATAATTAAACACACCCTAATGCAATTGGGGATGTAGGCTGATCTTAATATTCAACCGTATCCTTAGTTAGCCGTTAACTAACCATCCGAAAACAAGACCTTGTCCGTCCAGATTTTGCAAAAACTCGTGTGTAGGACTGTTTAAGTTAAAGTTCGTCTTAGATCACAAAACCTATTTCTATGCCGCTCTACTTGATATCCTCACAGTATACTCATAGAGGACACCCTATTCGAAACTTGATGCTTCCATACTGTAGTGTCATGTACTCTCTAAACGATGCTAGGTGTATTGGTGCGTGACTTTCAAACAGCCGCCTGCGCCACTAAACATCTAGCAATACGCTGTCGAACCCGACATTTTCCTTAAAGCCTCAACGTTTTCTCAAGGGGTCCTTTCTATCATAAATGGCGCTGTTTTACTCAAAAATATACCCTCTTAATGGTACATGAAGTTTATGAGCGGATGACACAGAAAACAAGGAGACACCAGGTTATTAGGTTTTACCTTGCTAAAAGACACCCGACTTTGGATTTTTCGTTCGTTAATGATCCGAATCGGCTTAATGATCCGTTGATTCATCGAACCACGGTTTCCTTCGGAAAAGAAAGCTTTCTGGTGGAATGTTCGTTCTTTCGCAGTGTGGTCTGCGTTGTAGTCATTCTTAGAACACAGAAGTGCTTGGGGTATGGGAAAGAAGGCAATGAATGCAACCTACCAGCTGCTCCTAAATATCACAGATGTGTTTTGGCTTTCACTTAGGGCTGCGCTGCCCGTACGTAAGCAATGAGTACTAATAAATAGGGCACAATAATATGTCATGAAAATACATTAAAAAATAAAAATGAGTCAGATCAAAAGTTCATTAGATCACTTCCATCTAGGTAGATGCACGATACAAGATAAACCCTATCTATACAGGTGTCGCAAATTTGCCTTACCCACAAAACCCTAATCTCGAGTCAATTCTTTTTGTCACTACAAAGCCACAACACACTATAGTATAAAGAAACTGCAACTGATTATAGATATGATAAAGACGCAGTATATACGACCGAGCGCTCACCGAATAGTCTCATTGATTGAGCACCAATCAAACTGAGAATGATTACATGTGGTCATGCTCAAATCTAACAGACTTTGAAATCAGTCAAGCACCAAAGCTTGAAGAACGTTACCCATCACCCTAAGACGTAACTACAAATTCAACTTCCTTTATTCGCGCCGGTGGTGTAGTATATGACGTAGGCAGAATGTCGCGTGGTAGGTATCGCTGGCAGGACGTCGTGCAGTACGTGGCTTTGAGCAACGACCCCCTGGTCTCTTTCAGCGGCTTAGCCGTCCAAGCAACCACGTCGACAAATAAAAATATGCGCATCCCTTATCTATGAGTAATGCAATAATAACCCACGAAAAGCTGTATTTAGTAGGAGTGTCAAGCGTGGTGTTAAAATGTTGTCCAATGAATCGTGCCGTGTATATTTGTTTAGCAACTACTGATAGATGGAATAAATTTATTTTCTACAAACCTTGTGAGCTCGAGCATTTCTTGGCGTTCACTTTCCGAAAACGCTCCATAGCGCCTGTCGTACGGACCCGGTTTCGTGAGGAATACGCTAACACTTGCGTCGATAACTCTCGCTCCAATCGCGAGCAGAAAAATCCATCCGACCAAGACGCCTGTCCGTAGCACCGCCTCTTGTTTGCGCTGCAGCAAACAAATAAAACATAACATTTCGAATACAATAAGAGTCTACAAAGTTTAGCCAATACAATTTTACACTCACTTAAGTTCATCTTTGGTGTAGGCATATTCAATCTATTTGCATTGATACTTGGACGCTCTACTACCTGTTATTAGGTTCATATTAATTATGTTAAAATTAATTTTGGGCCGCGGTTCGGCCTTTTTTAGTATTTTTGGAAAATTAATGAAATATGCTTGTCTCAACGACTGTAGACTGCCGGTGTCGGATTTATATTTCACATGACACAAAAATAGCATTAACACTCGCAGATTATTTTCCTACCAGAATCGTCTTGATTGATCTAATTTGGTACGATGCTTTCTGCCTTCTGACCTTCACGCGATCAAGTTGATGCCAAAAATCGACAGAGTACACTGAACTCGCAACCGTTTCGAGCATGTCTATATAAAAATGACTAACTCTTCGCCAATGAAGACATTGCTCCCCTCTACATTGCATGCAAGTACTTATTTGCAAAAATCGTTTGTAGGAAAACCAAAGCACATATAATGTTCCTCACAATGCAAACAATAATGATTACAAACGATCGCGAAATAGGTTCTTCATATCGATATAATAGTTAGACCAGATTTTCTAAAAACGCGGCACCTCATATGGCCAGTGGCCCAGATAAAGACATCGTATCATCCGTGTAGCATTTGCACGTTTTCTAATAATATTTTCGACTCCAGCGGCTATGCTCAAGTTCCGAGAGATTGCTACTGCTAATATATAGACTTCGTTTGTTACCTATATCTAAGCTGTTAGAGACTAGATAGAACTAATTGTACCAACTGAAAAAAGAAGTTATATATATATATATATATATATACGTATCATTGAATCATCCTTCAACACGCTTGCCGCTATACGCAAGCAAAAATGATCATAAAATGCGCTGTTCCGGAGTTACCTAGAATCAAATAGTAATCATACTACAATAAGTAGAAATGCTGAAAGAAAGAATAAAAGAATCAATGAAATAAAAACCAAGTTTAGTTAAAAAAACGAAACCAAAATCTAGACCAAATAGTAGCTTATGCGTTGAACTATAATATTACTCTCAGCCGCTTGCCAAGGCAGCACACTGTTCAGCTACGTCGGCTAGTGTTTAACATCGATTGCCCTATTTAACACGCATCGATCCTTTTTCACGAAATAGTGAATACGGCAATTCGAGATAATAGTTCCCTTATTGAAATAATGAAGTGTAATAAGGCCTTGTGCAGATTCACCGCGACGTGGCTTGGAAACTTCTGCGGCTAGTCTGCGGCGATTTTTCTATCAAAGAAGTTTTGTAAAGCGTGTCTGTCGGTGTTGCCGGCTTAACTTAGATCAAGGAAAAGTAAAATGAAGTTTCGGGGTTGTTTTCGTAAAGTCTCACAAAGATAGTAGGCTAATCGTGAACATCGATTGTTTGGAAGTAATTTACTGTTAAAGTCACTCTATGCCGGAAGGTTAACGATACGCTTGGCAAGGCCGCAGCTATTTGCCGGGACTTACTATTGCAATGAGAAAGGCTACGTCGAATCTCGAACCTTATTTTAGTTTATATAAAACATAGTTTATTATAAACACCTAGTAAGTAAACGGACAAGCTTCATTTCTAACATTAACTCTTACCCTTACTATTTAGGAACTGACGTATGAGTCGCACTTTCCCAACGGCTTATTTAAAAAAAAGGTTAAATACTGACGTTGCAAACGAGTCTAAGGAATACGCGATATTGCTTTGATATTTGCATTCTATTTATTTCACTATTAAGGCTACCCAATCGCCGTTATGGCCCGCACTTTTTCAAAAGAAAAAGTTAGACAGACAACTGCGATTAACGAGCTTTTGCGGCCAAGCTAATACATGCTGGTAGACAGCCTTTAAGAATCATCTCCGCTAGACCCACTAGGCACCGTTTCATATTCGCTTTCACTTAGATAATGGCATCAGCAGAGTCAAAAGTTGTCGAAAGAGGCTCAGGAGCACGGTTCTTCAGACGCATATACTGGGCATAGTTTATGGTTTCTCAATAATCGTTTAATATCTATTAGTCACATAATATTCAGAGATACGCTTTACTTAACATGGACATTTATGCCAGGTTTGGCGTGTCCATTGCACAGTTGAGCGCCAATCTGTTATGAATTTCACTTGGCGAGCAACTGCACGAAGGACGAACAGCACGAGATATGGACAAATATGGTTGCTGGACGTAAATAATTTAGTTTTTAATAATTGCATGCTATAAATCCTAGATTTTTACCTAGATTTTTCTCTTCGAAACTTCGTAACGAGATTTTTTTAATGTTAATGTCAACCTGACATTTTGCGATACGACCCCTACTAACTGACAACGGGGTTCCCTAATTTATATCTTGGTTATGCTGATGACTGATACGAACGCTGCTTGCATAATGACGCCTGTTATTCAAAGTATCTTGCACTCTGAATTTTGGCGAAGTTTCAGGCACAATTCAAGGTTGACATACACGTGTATTACTCTATTGTCAAGGTGTCTCACTTAGCTCATTCGTATAGCGTGAGGCGATGACGAATGTTTTAATAACTTTTTAAAATCTACTTATATTTAGGCCATTTTCTATCGATGAGTTTCGAATAGGCTCCTTGAAGGATTACGATTTAAAGCGAAAAAAATCTTTACGTTTCTTCTATACATTATTGCAATCGCGACGATATTAAATAACCTTGCGTCGATAATATGCCAGATCGATGCGAAGTGAAGTATAGATTCACTGTCACTGTTAACCCAACTAGTACGAGCATCTGATCGACTATCGAAACTGTTTACAAACACCCTTATTTCGTCTTTCAAGTAAACAATCAGATCTTCACAGCGACCTTCAGGCAGCAAAATACAGAAACACGAAAAGAAACAACTTGACCTGTTTTCGTTCTAAGAAGTAAAGGGTCTTTTTGAAAATTTACCATTTCGGCAGTGACGTTTGGGATCTTCCGTTCTTTAAAACGTTCCGACAGAGTTTCGGAATCTGTGTTCGATCATATCATATGCTAGTCGCACGAAACTCCACGTGTACGAATGAGGCCACCAAGCCCCTGTATATAATCAGCCGTATCTGCTCCTCGGGTATGCAGCCGACCCCGTCATGTCGGAACGAGGGCGACTTATTTTGCATATCGTTTATTGGAAAGGTACCGACGACCTGTCCTAGCACATCTCGCAATTCCACATCATGGAAACTTTATTCCGAAACTTACGCTAAGCATCTTCGAAGAAACCTACGCTTGTCCTCTATTGTCCTGTATAGTACCAACAGTTGTCAGTAAACTATGTATGAACTGTAATAGCACGAGTTCTGAGGCGTGTTTATTTCCCGTTGCAATCTACAGTAATTTCATAAGCACAGGATATCGGAACACTGCAAGATTCGGTAAAAGTTGATACCAATTTTGTTAATCCACAGTTTCACACACGTTACTACACAAAGTGTACTGTCAAAAGGTGGCAGTCTAATTGAAGCACAGCATCCTGCATTTCTTCAACGTAAAACAATGTTTCTACCAACTGGAAACTGAAAGCAGTCATATTATATATTTATTCCTCATCTTGTATTGTTCATCCTGTACCCTAAAATACATTTTGGTCCTTTGTCGAAAATCGATGAACACTTTGTGTTTGGATGTAATCACTGTCAAACAGATTTTCGACCAAGGAGACCGCCTCACTGACGACTGACTTTACCAATGGTAGCTGGCGTTTTCCTTTTCTACATGGTACACCACCACCTGATTGAGATATGCGTGAGTAACCTCTATACCGGTCCCGATTGACGTGTATAATAACGGTGGTGCGTTACTGAATGTTTCAAAAGTTTCTACCCAGAGCCGTCGTGAGGCATCGAAATGTCAGGCAGCATTAAACTTCGTTAGCTACGTTACGGGCTCACTTGTGCTTTAGAAGTCAGCTGTTGCGTGGGACCAGATGTTTAGAATGATGACGCGGCCACTCCGCGCTGACGATGATTTTGCCTCCCAGTTCCGGTAGAAGAGAAAACAATCTTGTACGCTATGTGATGAGACGGTTAATTTAGCAGAACCTTTTCACTATAGAAAAACTGACTGAAATTTTGAGTGGAATCTTACATTTCTATTGTACACAGCAGTGCTTACATCAATATTATCGTTAGGTAAATTATGATTAAGAACAACACCTAGCATAGGTGCATGGTTGGATGCAACTGTGATTGCATCCACAGACAGTGATCCATCCTAAAGGTAATTTTTTTTTTAATAATTCACTGAAAAGTAAACGTATAGCCTTCTACGGCCCTCATGAATAAGGTAAATAAAACGTATAAATGAAATTTATTCGTATACTCTCTTAGTTAGCTATGAAAGTATTACGATGCGTGGGATGCAGATATGTTGTACTATGGATGTATTCTATAATGCCGTCTACGTGATATTTCATTAATTTTACGACAACAACAGGCGATGACAGAACGAAAGTATATTTTAGATATCATGTGATGGTAAAATTAGATAATTCGTTCATTTTTAATAATTTAAAAAATCATGTAAATGTAAAAAATATTAATAAATAAAAAATAATGTAAAATAAGCATAATGTCAATGTACTTAAAGTTATAAATATAGCACATATGTCATAACATATGATTGTATGTATCTGAAGGTTGTAGGTTGCTTTATTAGGAAATACAACTCCCATTGAGTTTACGATATTCTTTGCAATTAAAGTAAAATTAACTAGTGTATAAAATTATGGATTATTATCTAACAATCTAATAACAAACGAAGTTAAAAGATAGCCGCAATAACTGGTACCCGAAAGTATCGTATTTATTATATTTTTCAACATATGCCTATCGGAAACTTCGTTCAATCACGATCGTTGTCCCAGGGGGCACTGCACTTAAACATATGCAGCTCTACTTCACCTTCATATGCCTCACTTTGATTTTGATTGAAAATATATTGAAAAGCAGTTGAAATATTTTCATTTCGAACGGTTACGAAATTACAATACCCAGTAAGAATAAGGTTCTCAAATTCCCGTTTGATTTTTTTCAATACAGTTTTCCCTCGAAGACAAACGACCATCTTCAATCGAAGGGCGGAACCTTAATTTCTGGAGCAGTAAACTTTTCCTAAGCAAGAGAACCGAACATATTGACTTGCTCGGATTCATTGATCCCATTGATGACACTCTCTGCAACTAGGTTGACCGTTAAATATACTGTTCGAAGTCTAAACCGTCCAATTTTTTTTTGCAAACAGTAGCACAAGGCCTGTCCTGCAGCAACCAGGACAACCCCCCAGTGCCTATATAGTCTGAAGGTCTACTATCTATAGTAAATTTGTTTTAGAAAAAGTTTGTTCTTTACAACAACCGAAGATCCTCAGCGTCGCTCGTAACGAAATAAACAGTTTCTTTTCGTCCATTGATACCCATCGTTTTCCACAATCATCTGGCAGAACTATTGAAGACCTCTCGATCCCAAAAGCCATTTGGTAAAAACAATAATAATAAAATAAAAATAATAAAAACAAATCTAGAAATATAGAAGGCAGTCGCGTATGCGAATTTTCGAAGCGGATTTATTAATATGTATCGATCCTTTATACGTGAATAGTTAAATGTTCAAACGCTAGCAAAGGTACGAGTAGCCGATGAAAAAGTACTGAATCATTCACATTCGGTTAAGTTTGTGTTAGGATTAATATTCCGAACGTAGAACACTAGCTGAATGCTAGACTTTGTAGTCACGTCTGGTTGTACGCGCAGCATTGGTGGACAGCTAAATGTTATACTAAATTTAGTTACTTTCCATTTCGAGGATCGTCGTGAGTCTTGAGCAATGTTCGTGGGTCTAGAGCCGTGTCGCTTCTAGAAATATGAGCTATCGACCGTTGCTCACCCTCAGTGTTGAACGCCACGCTGTCCCTTCAAGATGGACCACCGTTACCTTCAAGGTTGCATAGGATGTTGTAAACTTTCTATTCAAATAGAGCTTTCCAAAGTGGACGTCTCAGCATCCCTAATGCTCAATCACCGTTCCCGGCGCATACACCCGGCGCTGGAGATTCATACGATAGCAAAACGCAGAATGCTCCGCAAGCTTCTCTGACTTCGCTAGCGAAATCTACTCACTTCACTAGCATGGCCTTTTCTTTGTCCTTCTTCTATGGACGGACTAAACAGAAACTACCCCAGTGTGCTTCCTGCTCATGCAGCTCCCAATTGTGGCAGGTCCCCATCGACGGGTGCTGCTCTCGCGTGAAAAGAGAGAATGCAGCCTTCTTTCCGGAGTGTCGATAGGCGGTCGCACAACTAAAAACGACAGTCGTACCGTAGTAGTTCGCGTCGAATAGATAATTTGATTAAAACCTTCGTTACCACCCACGTTGAGCATTGCATCAGCTAACTAGACTTTCCATCGACGACATCACGAAACAGCCGGTTTCGAGCCTAGACCACCTTGTGTGTCTCGAGGTTAAGAAGGGAAGTACGCTACCCCTGTAGCATCACTGGGGGGCACTCGGGTGGTATTCTGGTAACAAACTCTGATTGTTTACTAATGAATTAGCTTTATTTCAGGGACCGTTGGGATACTGTGATTACGGAAGAAGCCACATCTGGCTTGGCTACAGTAGACAGGGTAAATGCGATGGAGGCGTTCCAATGGCCACCTAATTCACCAGGTAACCTCTGTACCGCCTGCATGTGGTGAGCATTTTAGGCGGTGCTATCCGCTTATTGAAGAATCCTTTAATCCGTAACCTGAGCAAATCTTTCAAAAAGACTTACCCAGCTTTCGACAAAGTTTGGTGATCTTGCGTGCTAATATACGACAAGTCAATGGGTTTAAAAATCACAATCAGAAAAAGTAAAGTCTACATTTGTCGACAGACGAAGGAGTTAATGTGAAATCGAATGCAGCGGATCCACCACAAGAAAGGTACCACGAACTTGTGCATTAGTTATTGAGGTAAACGTAACCTGTTGTGATCGTCCGGCGCACACGAAATCCTGGAATCCATGGCCCTGTGGCCTCGTTCGTACTCTTGTAAAACGTTCCGCTTGACGAGGGCCTTAAACTCCAAGGCCGTAGCCTTGGAGTTTAAGGAGAGAGGAGCCAGTAGCCATGCAAAACGTGTACAAAGGCTAATCTGCGCTACGGTTGGGCACAAAACGTGGTGATGAAAAGCAAGAATGCATTGAAGCTGACAATAGAAGATGCATTGAAGCTGACAATAGAAGATGCATTGAAGCTGACAATAGAAGATGCGTTGAAGCTGACAATAGAAGATGCACTGAAGGACGAATTAATCGTCAGGCTGAACTGGCGCATTAGCGAAACGCTTACGTTTAGGGAAAAGCCACTGCTATGATTAGTATACGGTCGTGCGGTAGATATGAAGCCGCTGAATGCCTTCCACCCGAAAACTCATATTAAGCTATCGCTGTTCAACATCTCTAGCTTTGTGTTAAAGGTGAATCCAAGATCAACAGAATGCTAACAAATTCTTACTGGGCCGGAAGGAAAGACAGAAAAAAAATTTATTCTAAGAATGCGCGGCATGCTCAAGGAATTAAGCAGAAGGAGCTAAAGCGTCGTAAAGAATGGTTTGGTCAAAGGACGGGCTCGGAGGACAAACGTCGCAGCGACTGACCACCTTGCCAGAATGCCCACATATCCGACACCTATTCAACGGTGTGTCAAAATAGGAACGAGGATTTGACCTTGTGATTTAGTGAAGCGGACGATAAACGATAACAGATTCCACTCAGGACCGAAAGACGGCGAGCTTTGGTTCTCATTGCTCTAACTAAAACGGTATACGGCATCCGTTTTTGCTGCCGTATTCATAACGGATCATGGCAAAATTTTTTAGTCGAGTTAATGTCCCAGTACTTGCCGTTGTTGGAGCTTGTTAACCGCGGCAAGCACCTTTCGCTCTGTTGGGATCTCCAGAGCCTAATAACGATTCTAGAGCCTTCCGCAACCGGTTCTATTATCCAAAATCTAGCGCATTAACTTGTTCCAGAACTAGGGGCCCACTGCTGTAGAAAACTGTAACGGGAATCCGTAACTCTTTCTTGTTCTTCTCGAAGCCGCATAAACCATCGACGAAGGCAGATTTCAAAGGCTATAACAAAGCTAAAATATAGCTCTAGACCATTAACAAACAAAAAAGAGGACATAAGCAAAGACAGTTAAATTCTCCCAAAGATTCTTCTTATTCCAGGAACTACCCAACCTGAAAGCCCCCTTACAATAACCGAGTTTTCAAAGAAGCTGTTGGTGTCGAGTTCGAATTACATAAAGTTATCTGCAATCGAGACAAAGTCTTGTTTTTTTGTTAATACGGAGTGGACAGCGAAATTGGCAGCTATGAAAGGTATGCTCAAGCTCAGAAAGAGATGTTTGACGATATGCATAAGTAAAACTTTTATTTGTGTTCGGTGAAATTGGAATTACCTTAAACATTAAAACACCGACTATCAACAATGATATATTGGATCGAACAGACGGGGCTATGTGAGAGCAAAGATTCGATAGAAACAGCCAAGTCAGATTATCCGTGACGAAGATCGGTGAAGACAAATTAACCCTTCTTGCACCTGCTGTATGCCAATTAGATCAAACAAATTAGACGCCGGTAGTTTGCAATCGGTTTAGCAACAATTAGCAACAGTACAGTTTGACAGTATATAAGGCCTCAGAAATGGCCGAACGAGTCTCTCAGCACCATAGCTGAGGGTCTCAGACGAGACGGAATAAATAAATAACAAAGAAAAACAATTGAGAAATGGAAAACGACGGCAAATATATAACAAATTATCTTCGTAAAAATGCCTTTATCATAAAGTGAAAAAGCGTACCCCATTTTCTAACCAACCTAATAAAACAGTGTATTGTAGTTAACGTGTCTGCTGGTAACGACTATAATGGCAATGAGCTCAAAGATTTTTGTGTGACCTGCCTCCATTGTTTAGGTTCACCATAGAGTAAGCTTATGACAGGAAGCTTATGGAATATTAAACAAATTCATATGTAGCGACTAGCGTTTCCAGAAGCGGTGTCTAAAGAAACAACAGGTTTCACGATGACTTTACCGAGATGTAGAGTTTATTTTCTAATAAAGGTTTGATGCACAAAGAAACTCATATAGTCAAAAAGAGTTTCGGTAATTTAATCAAGTTCCTCCGCTTTCTGCCTCTGAATGTATCATTATAGTTAGATAGAACTTAAACGATCCTTCGTCTGTCATATCATTGCCCTGGCTTTTACTTAGCTATCCGTATGTAAATTATGGTGTAGACACAGTTTAAGCTTAGGCAGACTTTTATACTTCCCAGCGTCTAACCATTTAGGGTTCGTACTGATGACGAGTGGACACATATTTATGAGTTTATTCTTTTTTTTTTCTTTATATACATTCTATCACTTAGGTAGATTTTCCAGAGTATCGAATTCAACTCAGAGTTCATAAGGAGGAAAGATAACAGCAAATATATTTGTTGTTATTAAATCGTTTCTTCTGTATCAGTGTTTGTAAGAAGCAAAAACGTTTCCCACAACAAAAAACTGTGCATTTAGCGTTCTGCAGCTGACATCGTGCAAGGACCATATTATCGTAATCGGATCATTGCAGGTCGTAACGGAATAAATCTTACCGTTACCTACAGAAATCGATCATAGATTCGTTGTACTATTTTCCCCAACCATTTTCGAGTGGTGGAAGGTAGCATACGGTTTCTCAATGAACGTGTTTGCGATAGCATAGGCCGACTTCAGTTTCTAGTCTTTCTTATAGTTTTTAATGATACTTCAAGATTTAGCTATTATTGTTCTGCCGGGTGTTGGAGAAATCAAGAAATCATCCACTTCATCCCTTGTAAACTTTCAATGACTAGTCGCGAGCTAGCAAGTCATATGTCCTTTAGAAATATACCAATAAAAATAGTACAAACGGTATTAAGAGGCCCAGCATACCATGCCTTGCCGAAAAATATCAGAAAAGCCAAATATTCTAGAGGGATAATAGGACTGAAAGAAAAATTTGACCAGAAAGCGTGTAATATACGTAGAACAAGTGGCGTCAAGTGGCCACTTGTATCGAAGTTGTGTAGAGGATCCAAAACCCAACAACGGCATAAAATAGAATTCGGTATTCTGTACAAAGTATTGGAGACCTTGGCATGATATGCGGTGCAAGTGAGTCAATACGAGTTAGTCGCAATGGATCCGAGTGCGTTTTAACTTTGTCGTATTCTATACAATTGGTTATTTCTGTTTCCCGTTTCAGCTTTCGGATGATCGTTTATTATATTTACTTTGCTATTTTCCACGTATGAGGCTTGTTACAAATGGTAAGTGCTAATGGTAGGACTTGAACTACCCCAAGGGAACAGATTGCTAATTTGGTCTGTCTGTCTGTCTGTGCAATACCTAGCGATTTGGTGGAGAGTCATAGTTGAACTTTTTTTTATTAAAAAAAAAAATGTAGCCCAAGACTTTTGAAGGTCCCTTGCTTTTATAGAGATTTGTACTTTTAGAGATAAAAGCTCCACTCTCCCAGACTACCAATTTGCTTTCCGCCTTTTTTGCTGACTGCCCCATATTAAGCACCGGTTAATTGACACACATGTTGCCCGCGTATAACTTTTCCACCACGCCATCAGCTAGTTATTTTCATTATTCGACCGTAAACACTTATTTGTACAACACCATTCTAGCACTGAGTATCTTTAATAATGAACGGTTCGCACAACTACCCTTCTTACTGCTATCACTCGATTACGTGTCTTGCGTTTTTAAGGGCTTCCTGTGCAAAGGTCGACTTAAAATTGATCTACGGAAAAGACATATAGGGAACCTCAAGCGGCTATCAAACATGGCGTATTCGCGTGTCTATCGAGCATGAGTACAGTCTTACTTGATGGTTCTGTACACCACTCGTCTAAAATCTTTCCACGAAGGAATACATGCTAAACGGAGCGCTGTCTAAGCACGGATTGGCATGATCGATATAGAATCTCTAAGAAACTAGTTGTTAGGTGGCGTTGATACATTGAATTGCACTGGATTTTAATAAAGTAACGCTACCAGCAGAAAATATTAAAGGTTGTGAAAGTGTCATGTTATTAATTAATTGTTGTTCCACCCTTAATTGTCAATCGAATAATGTCTATGTCCTATTAAGGCGGATAACCAAAAAACTGGTTTATAGTGTACACCTTAACATAAGTTCTACTACAAGTTGTATAATTATCAGACAGATAATTACAGCCTATTACCTTTTGATATATTGCTCAATGAATTTTCTCTCAATGCGTTTTTACTTTAGGCGTCAACACGACTCATCCAGGGTTCTCAACTAATGCCTCATCAACCACGTGTTAGAATATTACGAATTTCATCCCCCGTTACACGGCCAGTGGTGAAACGAAACATTATATATTTGTCCAGTGTCTAACGTTAGGAGTAACGCGCGTACTAGCTCACCACTGACCTTACTTGCGCCCTCTTCTAGATTAGCTAGCGCTTCAAACTGGCCCTTGTCGTCCGGGTACAATCACTGCATTTGAGAGCCTCGATAACTACTTTCGAGCCCTTTTTTTTTCTCCAACATAGTGAACTCGATAAATAAAGTAGAACAATCGGTTGGACATGACGTATTTCCTTGTAGTACTTACTATTGGACTAGTGCGATCAAAAACAAACAGAGACCAAGCGGTGAAGGTACTATTCATACTTATTGAATTCGTGTTAGAAACGGTTTAGTAGAGACCACCTAAATGTTTATCGATAAAACCAACTAATCGCAAACGCGAGTATACCACTAGCCATTTTTAGAATCCTCTCGCGATGGCCGGTGGGACCAATTAGGGTTCGTCTTAACTTCCGTATTGCGTACTCTCATGGGAACTGTTTCTTCAGCGATACAAATAATACGACTAATTATAACATCCGCAGCTAATCCTCCTTTCAATTTTGTCGGTCATCTTAAAGTTCCCTTAAAACTTCTCTAAACACGTAGCATATCTGAGCCAATGACGAGAAGACACGGCATGGCCATTTGCTCCCAGCACGAAAGGGTGCCACCAACGACGGCGATAAACGCTATTAAACGACAGCTATCAAACGCGCCCGGCAGAAACGACGTCGATAACGACGATGCTTGAAGCATAAATATTTAGAAGCAATGGCGCCTATTACATTTCATCCGCGATTCGAGAAAGGTTATTCGAGCGATTATTTAAATTTTCATTTAGCAACGTCGTCTTCCATGAGCTTAGCGAGTGCCGCTATCTCAGCCCTTGTCAACTTTGAACAACCACCGCCATTTTCAATGAAAAAAAAGGTTCTAACTAGTCCACAGGAGCTTCCTTTATGCGTTAGCAGTAACGTGTCCGCAGTTGAGTGTATGACAGCTTATTACCGAAACTGATGTGAAAGTTGAGGATAAAATGAAAATGCGGAAAACAACATTGTAGAAAGTACATCTCTATTAATTTATTGAAAAAGTAGAAACATATGTCGACGGCTGCCCGATGCAGTATTGTGATAACTATTCAATTAGAAACTATTGTCGTTTCCTGCTTGGCTCTGTATAACGTTTTGCAATTAGCCGGTTATTATGATGAGATCATCACTAATGCTCAAGGATCGACCGTTCCGAAAGGGCGAATCAACTGATCGAAAATGAATCCCTAATGAACAAAGCAATCACGCTTCATGGCGCAATACCCGTCTGCTATACCGCTTGTTGTGCAAGTGGATTTAAACATTCACTTACACTTTTTACCCAGTTTAGTCAAACTTTATAGCGCCTAATCGGTTTTTACTATTACAAAAGTTCGTCGTATGCCAACGCGAGCACAAAATGCTTGTATAATAGTTGAATCGCAATCAATGAAGATCCCCCATTCCCTTACACACTTGAAAATCGTAGTAATCTTAATGCGCTTGAAGCAGACAACGCAACGTGTAAATACCCATGGCGAATCAGGAAAGGATTTTAGTTGGTGTGAGGAGAAAGTCAACTTAAGGGATTTAATGGGTTGGCAGCATATATTTGAAAAACAAAAAAAAAAGAATGCGTGCCTGCTAGAATTATACAGTGCGCGGGCAATTTGAATTTGTACACATGATTAGAATCTGCGCGCCCACTGGGCCAATGGATATATTCCTGAATTTTTCGGAGCTTGAGCATTGCGGGAGAAGTTGCGAACAGGATGGGTTTTTTGCCGAAGTTTTTCGCGTGTCAAGCCGTTAGCCATCTCCTGAACGGGTTTCACTGTTGTTCGAAGGAACGCTCATTCCTCCATTCTAAGTTCATAAAGACACTAGGGCAGATTAAATGTTTATTAAATATGGGGATTGACAAAGGTTTTTGTGAGCTGCGTGATCGATCCAACTCGCCTTCTAATTTCTTCCAAAGCAAAGAAGCGATGCTTTACATATTGAAAAGCAACAAACTCTTCGCGAATATTGTCACTGACGCCTATTAGTGGCGTCTTGCAGTCTTTTCTTTTATGCGTGACCTGTAAGCTTTTGTTTACTGTTTTACTCGCACGTTTCAGTGGACGTGTGGTGTTTTTATTTACGAGACTTGAAATTGCACTTATTTGATAGACGATTATGCGATTTGGCACCTACAGTAGCTCAATTACCTGAGAAACGCTAATAACATTGTTTTACCAGTAATTATAGTCTCATGTAATTTAAATTCGTTGGTGAGTGTTGTAATGATCTAATGCGTAAGTAAACGTTTCATAGCAGTTAAGTAGAAAGTCGTGTCGAAGAAAACATCTATGCAACAGACAAAAGTAAGCGTTCTGCACTGCTCTAATTTTGTGATATACGTCGTGTTGCTGCCGGCGGCGTACCAACAAGATCGACCATTATCACCACCACTACCAACTAACAACAAAAATATTGTGCACTGAAAAAAGTATAAGGGCATCTCTAGTAATCCGTGGCATTCCACTCATAAGTTTGTTAATAGCATTGTCGCCGCTGGTGCCATTCTCTCCCTTTAGGACAATCATCCTATGAGAATAGTGCTATCAAGTTTCCTTAGAACGAGATTCCTCTGCGCAGATAGCTATATTCTATTTGCCCGCCACTCCAGGTAATGAGATCTAATGCAGTGAAAAAGAATTTCTTTACTGGTAATTAGGTTCGATTATGAGGCAAACCAGTATATTTATATCTGTGGAAAAGATCTTTAGTTCATTAAATAGGTTAATTAATGCTTAGTGAACGAAACGATGTAACATGCGTTTCTAACGCCCCAGGCCAATAAAAGCGCGCACGTTCAAATTTAAAAGCGGAGCGTTTTGGCGCTGTAGTGAAATCACGTCAGCCATTAGGCAACTCTCTCGCACTAGTCGTCGTTGGCAAAGGTAAATAAATACGTAAGTAAATACTGATCCTGTTTTTAAGAAGATTGTAATTGCTGAATTGTGTGCTTGTGACGCATCGGTTGTGGTCTAATAAGAGATCACCGTCATGCTGTTTCGATAACTTTTGAAACGATGCTTGAGGTATTTATTTGGCTTCTTGACCCATTATCCAAACGTGAAGCCTTTGGGCCATGCTTCTCAGGCGTAAGGGTAAACGGGTTGGGCCTTGACGAGTTGGACAGTCATTTGAAGAATAAATTATAACCGAGGCATGTAAATCAGCTTATGAGTTCGTTGTGTCGAAAAATATTCGAAGTGTTTTAGCGTTCTTGCCATAGGCGCAAACCTTCGCCACTTATGTTACATCGTTCAGGCTACAAAAGGGAAAACATTAATTTTAATTTCACCTTTTTCAAAGCTGACGAAACCGACACAAAATACAAAGCTTAACATTGAGGTTTTTGGAATACCTGGGAAAATCAGCGGGGTTAATGCAGTAGAAATTTCCTACATAAGATTTTTGTACTGACGCAAAGCTATAGACATTGCAAGCAAATTCAGTGTTGTCACCGCCTTGGTGAACATGAGCATACAACGAAGATTGTCATCGATTCCTTTGCAAACTTTTCCACTATACTGTGGTCTAGTGCGGTAAATAGAAAAAGGTCGAACCTAGTAGTAAAGGGGGCCAATTCTAACTGAACAAGTTCGTAAAGGAAATCGATAAAATCAAAGGAAGCAAAAGCAAGTATGGCAGCATTGCTTTTGTATACGCACCCGTGAGGTTTTGGCAATCTGTATGGAATTATAAAAATCAATATTATGATCTCAAATTGTCGTTAGGTCCAAATTTGGATCGTGTTTTACCTCCACGTATCAGTAATGCAATTTTCTGCTGTATAACCACTATTTGCTCTTAGTTAAAGCAGTAGTACCAGCCATATCAATGTTCGAACTCTTTTTATATTGAAGTAATATTGAAAGCGTCATCCAATAATCCCGAAGTAACATTTGCAAGACATTTCCATTTAAAAAGTCTTCAAATCATATTATGGCCAATATGGTTGATTGGCAATATGATTAAGAGGAATGTTTTCGACTATTCGTACCCAGGAAAAAAACATCGTCAGCTGAATCTTCTGTAATAGAATACAGTTATTGTTTTTATGCAGAAAATGGAAAAACACAAAGTGTTTACCATATGCTTTCTTCAAGATTTTCGAACAAGACTCTCGTTATAGCATGGATGTAGAACAAGATAGAAAATGTACCATATTTCTTTCATGGACGGATTGTTAGAACACTCGACAGAAGCTCGCGGAGGGTAGTTGACCGGACATTCGATATTGTCATTTGCGCGTCGTTTGTACTGTCGCCGGTAGCGGCGTCACCTTTTTCCCACTTTCCCAACGTTTGTGTGGGTCACGTTGAAAGAAATTGATGATTATTTCTTGTTACTTCAGTTACTCGGGAGAGGTTTTTCATAGAATAATGGTGGCTTTGGGAAACAATCGAAAAAGCGTTTCTTCTAGAAAATTGTTTTAAGTTAATGTGTAAAGGAGTGATTTTGTTATTGCTATGATGTTTTTCTGTAACAATCAATATTGACCCTAATTGATTTTATTTTAATTCTGCTAATTCTATATCGACAAAATTACATCTGCCGCACGGTCCGTAATAGCATGAAGCGAAATCTTCGATCAAACTTGATTTCGCTTC